GAGTCCCCCGGCATGCCCCGCGACAGCGAGTGCGCCTCCGCACGTACACACCTCAGCCGGCTCGTGTGCGCGCAGACAGACCCTCCTTCAGCGCCAGTTTCTCTTCACTGAAAAAACATCTGTAGCAGCACTGAGCCAACATAAATCTTACCAAACAGTTCGTGATAGCATTAAGTGACGATCACATCTAGGTAATCACAGAACCTCATGCACGTCATTCAATAACCATTTGCCATAGTATTAGAAACTGCACATTTAACAGTGTTTTAAAAACGCAAGATGCGATTAAAATGCGCAGCTATAAAACAAATACATAACATTGAAGCCTGGGAAAACAGGCAGATGGCAGATGGTGCCTAATATAGTCAAGTGCAATACAAATTTAAAACAAAGTGAGAAACAGTGACTCAACGCAGTGGATTTCTTCAGAATCAAGTGTCGTGGAAGTGGATTTAAAACTGATCACAGGAGACACTTTGCACAAAGAGTGGTGGGAGTGTGGAACAAGAAGCCCAGCTATATTACGAAACACTGCTCATGCGTCAATTGAAGGAAAGCTGGATGAGATCCTAGGATCAATGAACTAACAACTGCCAAAAGGCTGGATGGCCTGAACAGCTCTTCTCATCTTTCTTACTTATAATCTCTTAGGTTCTTACTTATAAGCTATTGTTTACACATCCATGTTTCAGCAAGGAACTTTCAAAATAAACCTCAGAGGTCCGAAAAATATCCTTTGGAACAATATAGCTGAAGAACCTGCCCAGGAGTCCCAGCATTCCCCTGAATTCAGTGACGCCCTCCTCACAGCCTCTAAGTAGCACAATTCACGCAGGCCAGATGTTTGCCTCTGTGGCAGCGCGGGGGAGTGTATAAACAGAGCAGGCTGGTGGGCACTGCGAGTGCTCCGTCAGCACGTGGCGCGGCGGCGCTGTGAATACTGGTCGCGTGAAGAGAGCCAAGGCCTCGCCCTCTTGGACAGCCAGGCTGGGCCACTGACGCAGCTCAGCACTGCCCCCTCCTGGAGAGGTTCTCTGGCAGTGACCCATTCGTGTCTACACGATGTTCACAGCGCGTAGCTCACAATGTCAACAACGCACACGTGTGCATTACTGT